TATGTCTTAAATTATATTTCTTAGAGTCTATATCAAGTTGTCTACTGACCAACAATCAGTGTTTTTTAAGAATTAATAATAAATTAATTTCATCTAATGCTAATCAGTGCCAATGAAGATGGTATTTGCTGCTATGGATTTAATAAAGGAATAACTGAAGACGAAATTAAAATTATTTGATCATATTAATATAAGTGAGTAACATTTGTTGTGAAAATAGAAGGCGTGCTTTAGCTGAATTAGTTTCTCCTGTGCATTTCATCTGTGAGTAATAGGTAGAGAAAGCAAAAAAAGAATTGGATAGGCTTGCAAGGTCTGTTCCATAGCCCTAAAAGCTTCAGACTGAGCTGCTGCAAGTCTGGGGGCTAGGGGTAAGGGGGAAGATAAAGAAAGAAAGTCATTTGGATCATTTCTCCTATTTGTACAGAATAAAAATCCTTATCCAAAGGAAAGGAGGCTTTCTAAGAGGGGAATGACTCCTGTCATAACCACATAAAGTTGTTGATAGGCAACTAATATGTCAGAATTATTGGTTATATATATTGACCAGTGATGAAAAAAGACATGAGATAAGAATGACAGGAAGAAAGACTTTATCTGTAAGACCATAGAGTTGAGGGTAACTGTTTTATCATGTTGAGTTGGAATCAGAAATTTAAGAAGGTCAGTTTTCACAAGTCTCTGAAAAAAAATGAGACAAGAAGCTATTTGATAAAAGGATTGTGTTACAAAGGCAGTGAGATGCTTCAAATGCATTTACTATCTCTGGGAGAGGAGCAGATGCAAGCTGACATAAAATGGTTCACACAATGCTGTGAAATCTTAATTAGGACTGTCAATAAGTTATGAATATATTTTTTAAATTGGCTTTACGAGGTGTCAGTAGAGCCAGAGTGATAAAAATAGAATGGGCTGGTAGCAGAAAAACTGGGAACGATGAAGATCCTCAAACATGAGTTCAGATATTTGCTCTCCTTTCTGAACCACATATAGTTCCTTCAGCTGTTGGTGTGAAGCCAACATACTACTCAACATAATACTAATAAAACTCTGGCATGTTTTTTTACTTGTTATTTTTTCAAAACAAGCTGACTTTAAAATTCATAATGAAAGCAACAGAAGTTGATCAAACATTAGAAAAAAAGAACAAATCTGAAGAACTTACATGGCCACATTTCCTATAAAGCTCCAGTCTTAGACAAAGAATAGATCAACGAAGAGAACAGAAAGTTTACAGATAGACCCACACATTCATAGTAAATCAATTTTTAACTAAGGTACAAAGGATATTTAATGGATATCTACATGCAAAGGAATGAGCCTCTATTCCTATTTCACATCAATATAAGAATTCACTCAAAATGGATTAGTGGTTTCCAGGGATGAGGGTTGGTAGGGGAGGTTGGCTTCTAAGAGATACAGAAGACATTTTTGAGGGACGCAATAATACTGCTTTATACCAGGATTGTGGACGTGGTTGTCAAAATTAACAGAAGGTGAATTTTACTATTAGAAATAGTTTCAAAGAAGAAAAAGTCTATTTTAGTGCTAAGTAGTATCTTTCTAGTAGAAGAAAGAAGAAATACCTAATTACTAATATCCAGGCAATAAGATACATTGTAATCACAAGTGGGTTATAAATGGAATATAACTGAGAGAAGGAAAACTAAAAAGCCCTACGATGTAAGCCTTAAATATCTGCATAATCGTTTTCGCCATCTGCATTTGGGTTCAGTCTAGAAAATGCTGGAAATCACCGGACCTGTCTTTCTTTTCCTGATGCAAACAAGGAAGAGTTTTAGAAGGCTAATGAAAATTTCAATCTGGAAACCATACTGAATATGAATTATGTTCACAGTATGTCCTGCAGCTATCTCTAACTGCAACAATGAATTCTTCAGCTTACTCTCAAATCTGTTCTTTGTTTTTGCTGTCTATCTTAGTTAATGGTAACAATTCAGTTGCTCAACTAACAAATCTGCATGATATTTTGACTCCCCCCTCATTCTTTACTCCACCATCAAATGAATTTACTTATCATTAAGTTGTGATAACTTTATTTCTTTTTCTTGTGGTACTAAGGCTTGAACTCAGGGCCTACATCTTGAGACACTCCACCAGCTCTTTTTGAAATAGGATCTCACCAACTATTTGTCTGGGCTGGCTTTGAACCTCGAGCCTCCTGATCTCTGCTTCCTAAGAAGCGAGGATTACAGGCATGAGCCACTGGTTCTATTTCTTACATATAATATTTCAGATGTGAGGCAGAAAAGAGCATGGAGCTAGAAATTCAGCACTGAACTTAAGAGGGTGAGATGGTTAGGAGGTGAGGCTAGTTAAGGAAGCAGGAGCCATAGTTTCTGCTTATCTCAAACACATTCTAAATAAGTACTTTCTTCTCAATCCCTACTACTATTCTAGTTCAAGTTACCACTTTTCTCCTCTAAATGTCTCAATAGTCTTTGGTCTCCCTATATCCATTTTTGTTTCCATTTCAACTCATTATCTGCACTGTAGTTCAAATGTTCTTTTAAGAATATTAATCTGGGGGAAAATATTCTGCTCAGTGCATATCATTTGTTCCTTAAAACTCTTCCATGGCAGCCAGGCACTGGTAGCTCATGCCTGTAATCCTACCTACCCAGGAGGCAGAGATCAGGAGGATCACGGCTTGAAGCCAGCCTGGGCAAATAGTTCATGAGACCCTGTCTCGAAAATACCTAACATTAAAAAGGGCTGGTGGAGTGGCTCAAAGTGTAGGCCCTGAGTTCAAGTCCCAGTACCAAAAAAAAAAAAAAAAAAACCCAAACCTCTTTTATGCTTTCTTTGTCCTTTTAGTGCAAACATCAAAATAATTACTACGGTCCCTGCTTTCCTCACTAGCCTTACCTCACACTACTCTCTTTCACCCTCTCGATCCAAACATGCTCAGTTTCTAGTCTATGTCCCTTTCTGCTTCAGAACAGAGTACTGCTTGTTTTACACACTGTTCAGCCTTTCTGAGTTCTTCCTCTTGCCTACCATTGCATCTAAACTTATCTAGCTTACTCTCCTTTTTTCCTTTTGGGGGCAGCGAACTTGGCACTTCTAGAAATACTTCCATGATCCTTCATGTCCTAAACCAGGTACATTCATTTTTTACTTTTACAGCATCTGTAAAACGTTTGTGGTATAACAAAAAATTTTTTATTTGGTCATTATCTCAGGTTCCTTACACAGAGATCTTAAAACTCTTGAAATCTTCTGAGTGATAAGAGTGTCTTTAGTGTGCTAATGAGATGACTGGTAGCTGGGGATCCATAGATAGCTTTGGGATGAGGGCTGGTAGTCAGAAAGACCAAGACAGCAGTAGAAACTTTAAACTTTAGCTCAATCCTCTGATGTCTGGGGAGGGGAGAGGGGCTGGAGGTTGAGTTCAATCACAAGTGATTAATGATTTCATCAACCATGACTATATAAAGAAACCTCTAAATGAGAGGGCTTGAGGAGCTTCTGGGTTGGTAAAGATGTTGATAGTACTGGGAAAGTAGTGAGATCACAGAGAGAATGGAATCTCTGTCCCTCCTCACCTTCACCCCAGCCTTGCCCTATGCATCTCTTTAATTTGCTGTTCCTGAACTATAATCTTGGTAACAAAAATTACTAACTGTAAACAAAGTGGGCACCTGAGTTCTGTGAGTTATTGAAACATGAGGTGGGTTCAAAGGGATCCCTGAATTTATAGTCAGGTTGGACACAAGTGTGGTACCCTGTTTGTGCCTGTCATATGACATGAGGGCAGTCTTCTGGGACTAAACCCTTAAGCTGTGGCATCTCCAATTCTGGGAAGTTTGAGAATTGAGTTGAATTGTGGGACACTCAGATGGTGTCCAGATAATTAATAAAATTGGTGTTGGAAAATATAACATATATTTAGAATTAGAAACAACTTGCGAGCAGTTATTCAAAATCTGCTTATAATTTCATTGATATGAGCTCCTTTAGACAAGATCATGTTTATCTTATCTAACATACCTAACACAGTGCCTGGCACACTGTTCAAACTGGGTGGATATATAAATAGAATTCCAACCACTGGAGTATAGAAATTCTAAATTGTTATCTGGGAGAGAAGCTGGTTCTGAAGTCTTCCCTGGTTTTACTTTTGATACAACAACAAAAGCTGATGAGGCAAAGAGTCAAGCATCAAGTCCAACTTTTCACTATGTGTTATAAGGCCAACTATATGATAGTGTAGTATTGAGGAAGAAGCAAGGAGCAACAAATGTGATCACACTTCAAAGAGGAGGTGTAGTTGAGTACAAACCAATGACAAAGTGTTAGCCATACTAATGTCTCCATATTGAATCCCTCATGTTGTCAAGTTCTGTTCCCCCCAAAGCTATTAACCAGTAGAGCGCAAACTCTGCTTTACTGCCCGAGGCTTTAAAAAATGCTGCAAAATAAGGAAAAATTATCTAGTCTATAAGTCAGACTCCAAAGGCTAGATATCTTCTCAAATGAACACTACTAATGCATCAAGTTCTTTGAAGACAGTGATTCAGCCGAGAAAACCCTTTAGGGAGCACATGTATCAGCACTTCGTTTATCATCAGGCCTTGGAAAGTGGTGATTCTGTACTCTAGGCATGAAGGCACTCTTGTGTGCCTACAAATTCTTTTTGTTGTTGTTGTTGTTGGTACTGGGGTTTGAATGCAGGGCTTTGTGCCTGTGAAGCAGGCACTCTACCTCCTGAGCCGTTCCTCCAACTGTCAAAGGTTCTTAAATGTAGGCTCAAGTAGACTGCATCCTCTGTATTCAACTATATTTGAAGTTTTTCAGTGCTGGGCAGAGAGGAGAGGCTCTTCAAACACCAAATAGGACTGAACAGAAGATGCTAAGCACTCAATACCCATTATGTAAATTTTTAAGGCTTATAGGACCTAAAGAAAATGACGCCAGGCCTAAAAGACATTGGCAAGAAAAGATCACGTCCACCATGACACAGAAACAAGTCTTACCTGTGATGGGGTTATCCTTCCCTTTTTAATTTCAGAAGAATTTTCACTTAGTTTTCCTACTTTATTACTTGAGTTGCATTTGTAGCATGTCCATCTTATCTGGCCCTCAATTTCTACGGTGCATTCTTTGTTTTGTAGACAGAATGAATGATACAAGTGGCCACAGCTGCAACATGAAGACGACCAATTTGCCCTTTTCATTATCATGAACATACAAACATAAGCTGTGATAGTGTATTAACATGTGATACAGGTTTCTACTAATTGGCTAGAATGTACTGGTGGTTGTATAGGGCAAGAAGCAGGAGAGGAAATACACTCATTGCTGTCCTTGCTGTTTAAAAATCCAGATTTACATATTTATATCCTTAAGCTGTGAGTAGGAACAAGATCACAGTTCTGTGGTTATAGATCACCTGGAGGATGAGCTGAACTTCTGTTCATTCTCAAACTATGAAATTTTGGTAGCCTTTTTAGGGAGTTTGAAAAAAAAAAGGCAACTGGGAAAATCATAATGATTTAAGTAGCTTTGTAATAATATCACTGGCCCATCTCATCAAATTCTGGTAAACAATTATGCTTTGATGAAACATTAACAAAAATGTCATTGCTATAGTAAATTCTTACATTATTCCTATGGAGAAAGTCTCTATTATTTGTACTGGATTACCACATGAATGTCCCAGAAATTAAGTACTGAGCATGCTTCTTCAGTCTTCTCCTTTCTCCAACCTGAAAAGTTGGATTAGCCCTGATGTCAATCCTTTTCTCCTATGTAGTGGTTATACTTTCTCTTCTCTACACTGTTTTTGTATATAATGTGTTTCTTCTATGCTTCTTCTCCTACCCTTGCTCCTGTAGTGACTACTTACAGTTCCATATCTTTAAAATACCATAGGACCAAGACCACCAAATTTATACATTCAGCTCAGACCTCTCCCCTAAAGTCTACCTGTCTCCTCAAGAACACTATCTTGGATGTCCAACAGGCATTTTAAATTTAAGAGGTCCAAAACCAAGCTTCTGATATTCACCCTACTCCATCTCCACTGCATGCTCTCACCCAACCTTCGACATCTCAATGAATGGTAGCTACTTTCTTCAGGCCGAAAACTTTGGAGTCATTCTGAAAAGAGAAGACTTTCTTTCACACTATAAGCAAATTCTATCAGCTCTACCTTCAGATTATATCCAGAATCTTCCTGCATATTACTTCTTTGCCACCATCTCAGGCCATCTCTCCATGGGCTACTACAATAGCCTAACTGCTTCCCTTCTTGACCCTCCAGAGGCTATTCTCAACACAGCAGTCAGACTGACCCTTAAGAAATAAGTCAGATCATGTCACTCCTGTCTTTGAAATACCCGATGGCTTCTCATCTCACAGTAGAGGGCTAATTCCTTATAATGATGCTGTTCCTACATGACTTAGCCTCTGCTCCTCCTCTTAAGTCCTTTTATGTCATTTTCCTTTCCTACTCTGTATAGTCCTACTAGCCTGCTCACCTGCTGCTCCTTAAGTGTACCAGGAATGGAGCTGCCTTGGTCCCACACAAACTGACTCTCTGCTGTGGTACTCCCCCCAAAATTGCATAGTTACTTCCTTAGGTTTCTTAATGTCACTCAAATGGCCCTTAAACAGTGGACTTTCTCTGGCTACTCTTTATAAATTAGTAGTTTCCAATGTTCTCTTTCTTCTATACCATATTTTATTTTCATTAATGTAATGACTAATAACATTTTTATTAGTTTTCTAAATTGTTCATAAATTACTTCAACAGTAAGGTATTCCCTGATTACTCTACATGAAATATCCATCCTTCAAATGTGTGTCCTTCAAATGTTTTATTTTTTGCCACAGTAGCCATCACTATCTGGCATTTCACTTGTTTGTTTAGTGTCTGCCTCTGCCATGAGAATATAAACTCCATTTAGCAGTTCCTTCGTTTTGTTCATGATGTTCCCTGGCTCCTTGAATAAGACCTGGTACATAGTAGGAGGTCAATAAATATGTTTCCTGAATGAGCTCTTTGTGTGATGAGAATTACTTTCTCTTCCAACCTCCAAATCTACCAATCTTCCTGCAGAGCTGACACTAACACAATGCTTACTCATGCTAAGCACTGTTCAAAGTGCCTTACATAAATTTTGCATTTAATCTTTAGAAAAATCCAAGGATGTAGGTACTATTATTATTTCAACTTAAAGAGGAGGAAACTAAGTTATATAAAAAGATAATTAACCTGTCCGAAGTCTCTCAGCTGGCATGTGGCAGAGTCAAGATTTGAGCTCAAGAAGTTTAGTTCCAGAGTCCATGTTATGTGGCCTCTATCCAGGTATTCTGGATGGACTCAGAGTAACTCCTTCGCTTCTGCACAAGATCTCTTCTCTCTTTGTATTGTCATTTAAATATCATGTATATACTGATGATTCCTAAATTTTTATTTCCAGCTCCAATGTATCTCCAGATTGCTGACTAGAAATCTACCAGAACCCTGCTTGGATGTCTACTAGACATCTCAAATCTAAAATCTGCAAGACAAAACACTCGATTGCTCCAGTTCCTTACACTTGTTCCTCCTCATCTCAGGCAGGGGTTCCATGTTCACCCAGTTGCTTCGGCCAAAGGCTGAATTTTCCCCTCATACTCTTTAACTAATGCACTAGCAAGTTAGCTACACCCTTAAAATATATTCTGAATCCAAATGCCTCTCAGCACCTTCACTCCTACCTCTCTTATTCTGCTCAAATGTCATCTCCTCGGAGATGCCTTCTCTCATTGTGCTTTCTTAAAATAGTGCTCTTCTCCAGAACACTGCATTCTTCCATCCCACTGTCCTGTGTTATATTTTTCTTCATATCTCTTATTACTCAGTATTTATTTATTGTCTGGGAATCTTAAATCCTCCCTTCCCCACTCTCATGTAGAATGTAAGGCCTGTGAAGGCAGGACCTTTGCCTGTCTTTGCTCACTGCTTGAATGAATGAGAGGGGCTGTGAATCCACACATGTATACATGCCACACAGGCAATATTTCTTTCCCTTTCTTACCTAAAGACAATAATTTCATCAGCCATCTCTTGGCGTCTCTTGTATTGTTGCAAACATATAGAACAGTAATCCTGTTTGGGATTCAGTCCTTTAGTGACTGAAGCTCTCAGGTTACACAATGACCAATGGAGATCTTGGTTTAAAAGACTGGTTGTTGTTTCCAGCAGAGTCTATGGAAAACCAAAACAAACAAACAGACAAACAAAAGGTTATAAAATGAAAGAGACAAAGAAGAATTAACATTTCCTTAGTTTTTAACTACAAACAACTGAAATTGGAGTATACTATAAAAAGAATAATGCATCAAAACCTCACAAACTCAAGCAGTTAATATTTTTGGGGGGTTGTGCAGGTACTGGAGGTTGACCTTAGGGCCTCACACTTGCTGGGCAAGTTCTCTACCACTTGAGCCACACACTCAGTCGTTTTGCTTTTTGTTTGTTTTTCAGATAGGTTCTCATGCTAACTTTGCCTTTGCCAGCCTTGGCCTATAATCCACCTACGTATACTTCCTATGTAGCCGGGATAGCAGATGTGTACCACCATGCCCAACTTGTTTCTGAGATAGGGTCTTGCTAAATTTTTGCCCAGGCTGGCCTCAAACTGTACTTGCTCCTGTTTCTACCTCCTAAGTAACTAAGATTATAGGTGTGACCCACCACACCAAACTCTTCTATCAGTTAATGTGCAGAGTACATTAAGTAATTAAGTATGATGAGTATATGTATACAGATTCTCAAGTTTGTTACTAGTCCCTCCTAAAAATATGTCCTCTGCCATTCTGTGGCTTAATTCAGTACTGATGGCTTTCAAATGACTAGATAAGTCAAAATCTATTCACTACATTTATATAATAACTTCTCTCAGCTGGCTCACATTGTTATAGCAAAGAACAGTCTGGATCCCTTGTTTTTATTGAGTCAGCATCCATGGCAATGTTTCAAATAACCTTTCGGTGGAAAAGTTAATGGTCATTACTCAGTTTTCATCTCCCTTGGGCAGAGATCACATTTCCCTGACCAGCACTTACAAGTCATTTGAATCCACTCAAGACTCTTTTTTAAAATGCTACATCATTTTATTCACTTTACATAATTTATTCCTTAGTACAATTCTATCCCACTCAAGACTCTGACATGTGGCTGGGCGACAATGGTTCCCTAGTTATTTGGGAGGTTGAGATTGGGAGGATCACACTTTGAGGCCATCCTGGACAAAAAGTTTGCAAAACCCCATCTCAACCAATGGCTAGGTACAGCGCACACATACCAGTCATCCCAGCTATGTGGGAGGATCATGATTCCAGGCAAAAGAGTTTGTGAGACACCATGTCAATGAAAAAAAAGTTGGGGTGGTGTGTGCCTGTCATCCTAATTATGGAAGTTAGGTATAAAATAGGAGGATCACAATCCAGGTCAGCCTGGGCAAAAAGTGAGACTCTGTCTCCTCACTAGAGCAAAAAGGGCTGGAGTTGTGGCTTAAGTGGTAAAGCACCTGCTGGACAAGCATGAAGCCCCAAGTTCAAGCTACAGTACTGCCAAAAAAAAAAAAAAAAGATTCTGTCATTAAGTCACACAAAGACATTTTCAGTTATCATATTAAGTCATGGTAAGGCTCTCTGACCTTATAAAGTATTTTTTTCATACTACACTAATTCTCAACATTCATATATCATTTGGCTATGCAGTTGCATTCTTTTTTTGTCAGTCCCAAAAGAGAATATAGAGCTAGGTGCTTTAGATTATTTTTGTCTTTTTTGGTGGGACTGGGGTTTGAACTCAGGCCTTTGCACTTGTACAGCAGGTGCTCTACTGCTTGAGCCACACCTAGTTAGCCTATTTTGCTCTTATCATTTTGGAGATGAGGGTCTTATGAATTAATTGCTTTGGGCTGGCTTTGAACTGCAATCATCCCAATCTCAGCCTCCCAAGTAGCTAGGATCACAGGCTACAGTCACTGGTGCCTGGCTGCTTTATTTTTAACTAACTATCCCAATTTTTTCCAATAAATGCTATTTTTCTCTCTTCTTCTATAGCTCCATAGTTGGCAAAACTTCTCTACCTCACACTCAGCAACATTTCTTTTACTCTGAAATTTGTGTTTACAGAGGTATCAAACTTCACTGAATTATACTTAGCAAAACAGTAATTCTTACACCTAAGAAAAGCTTTGTCTCCCAAATTTTTCTTTTTCTTCTCTCAAATTCTTAAAGAAGCAGACGCTGTATCTAACATGCCTAAATGGTACTTTTTCTAAGGAAAAAAGTATGCCAAGCTGGCTCTTCTGTATCAGAATATCTAAAACAACACTCATTTAATTTAATATTGCAATTTCATGCTGACCGTTCCTTTTTGTGGGTTATAGCTTTGTAATCAACTATTTTTTTCCAGAAAGTATGACATAATTTCATTTTGAAAAGAAGATACTGGTCTCGCTGCCAATGAATCAAAAAATAAAATGAATTTGAACTAGATGCATTTCCTTATGTGTAAATTTAAAAGAAAATTTTAAATAGGAAAATAATACATATGCAATTCAATTGATCTCATTTTTAATGAGCAATTTTTAAAGAAAAAAATAGAGACAAAAGGAGAGAAAAAAAGAACAGAAAAGAGAAAGTCCAGATTTTTTTCTATCTTAGGACAGACTTAGACATAGCAAGTAGTTTACTTACTTGTTCATAGTTAAAGGTATCTAACATTCCCAGAATAAGGCCTTGGATTTCTCCAAGTTTTCCTTTTCCATACACTGGATCCTAATTAGAAAAAATGTACAAAAAATATGATTTTTTTGTTATTTTAAAATTGCTTTAAAATATAAGGTATCTGAAAGCCAAATGTTCTTCTTCTTTTTTTCTTTTCTTTTCAGTATTGGGGTTTGAATTTAGGCCCTTGTGCTTCTAGGCAGTTAGTCTACCACTTGAGTCACACCCCAGGCCTAATTATATATATATATATATATATATATATGTATGGTACAGCCACAGTCACAAGATGTTTTTCTTCCATGAACTTTCCATTGGAAATGTACATTAGTCTCTTAATATCTCTAATATTTTGTAAAACTAAAAAAATAAATGATCCAAGCCTCTTCCTTAATAATCTTCTTTGCAAGTCTAATTAAAGTTCACTCTGGTTCTGCTTCTTGAAGAAGCTTCTCCTTCATATTAAATAACACCTCTCCGAGTGCTTACTGATATGCCACATTAGAATCAGTGCACTCAATACTAGAATCTGTCCAACAACTCCTCTTGTGACCTACATGTAGCTACCTCCAGGCCAAAACCAACTAAATCCCTTCAATTTTGGAGACAAGCAGGATTTGAGAAAACAGCTTTCAATTTAGTTAAAGCTTTTTATTTTTCAATAAAATTGCTACTGATAAACACAGGTGCCTAGAAACCCAATCTTCTTTCCACGATTTTTCATATGAGGTCTGCCAAGTAACTTGTTTATTCTGTACAATTTGGAAAACACCCAAAAACCCAAATTCAACCATTCACAAATAAACACTGTTGACATTTGGTGTATATTCCTTCAGTCTTGTTTCTGGAGGAGGAAAGGGAAATAAGGAGGGATGCAGTTCTTTGTGCACAAAATTTGAGATTTTCATATAATACTTTTATATCTGTTTTTTACTTACTAATATATCATGAGCACTTTCCCATACCATCAACTATCTCTTAAGAGCTGCAGAGTATGAATCATATGAAAGTACCGTATTTTATTTAATCATCCTAAGCTGCTAGACATTTAAGTTTTCCTCGTTCCCAACCCCACCCACATAGCTAGAGGCTATAAATCTGCATCTGGATTGCTAATACTTTTTTAGAGGCGATTTCTAGAGGGGAAACTATAGATTCAGAGGGCATTTTATACCATATAAAGTATACATTGCCAAGTTACTCTATCAACAGTGTATTATGCAATTTGTATCTCCATCAGCAAATTTGTGTGCTCCTTCTACTATACCTTTGGCTAGGCAGAGAATTCCAATTTTAGAAATTGTTAATAAATAAGCATGTTGTCTATTACTGTACTCTAACATAAGGTTATGCATGACATTAAGTGACTCTTTTGCATGTAAAATAGAAGAGCCCAACTATTTATAGAGTTGTATCAGTGTTTTCTCCATCTATGGATTCAACCACTTCACACTAACAATATTAGAAAAAAATTACATCTGTACTGAACTTGTGTAGACTTTTTGCCTTGTAATTATTCCCTAAAGAATATAGTGTCACAATGATTTACTCAGCATTAACACTGCACTAGGCATTATAAGTAATCTAAAGGTAATTTAAAGTATATGGAGAAGATGTATGGGTCATATGCAGACAGTACACCATTTTATATAAGGGACTAAAACATTCAGATTTTGATATCCTTAAGGGGTCCTGGAAACAACTCCCACTGATACTGAGGGACAACTATATGCACCATTCTTCTAAATATTTTAATGAATGAAGAAATTGAGGCTTAGAGAGGCTAAGCAAGCTCTAAATTCACAAACCTATTAAGCCCATAAACTGGGATTTGAACCAACATACTCAGAAACTATGTTTTCAATTGTAACTCACATTTCCATTGGCCTCCCAAGTATAGATACATAAACTAATAAACTAATTTTGGGGGGTAAAATATGGGTATCAAGATTTTTGGAAAATATGGGTAATGTTTCTGCTTACTTTACAGGGAGTAAGGGCTAGTAAATTCTTGTTACTGTAAGAATAACAAGTAAAAGGATAACTAAGAGTTCAGAAAGTAAAAGGTTATGGAAGCAGGAAAAGCTTGCAGAACACAGACTCAAGATTTGCTTATTTTTCTCTTGTGGGTCCCAGTACTGGCTGTCAAGGATTGGGTAGTACAGCTTCTAACTAAGACTGCTTTTCAGTCTTGGGTTTTGTCTACAGTGGCATGGAGTTGTCTTGCCATAGGATCCCTCTGGTCCTTTCAACTGCTGAGGTAATGCTGAAGAAATGTAAGGCATAAAATAGCTATGTATTTTTGTACTAATTAACAAATTTACAAGTTTGGGCTTGAACAGTTTACTTAAGTGTAATAAAAATTTTCTTTCACAGGTAGGGATCATATCTCTAAGCTGATGTTTGTTTAGCAAGAGGAGACCATTCACAAAAGGCAAAGCCATGAATGTCTAGATTAGTCATTTAATAGAAAAACAACTCAGGCCACACACTCACCAGATAATTTCTTCTTTTAATTTTCCTTACATAAAAATAAAACCATGTTAATGCTTTTCATCTTCATTTAATTATGCTTTGGTCAAGCTCCCATTAAATATACTTACTTCCCAAAGTGCCAATGGATGTATTATATTTTACTGTAAAAATCTATTATATTTACAATATATGCATATAATATATTAATGTGGCTCTGGCATATGTTTACTGCAAGTATGGTTTGAAGAATAAAGATGTGTTAAATGGTTAAATTCCAGAGAAAAGAAGAAATCTTTATACGTCATTTCTATATTTACTTCAGCACATTTTAATTTAATATACATAATTTAAAAGCAAAAACCATGAAAACTACCTCATGCTGGGACAATGTATAAATTATAGAATGCAAAAGTGAGCTCAAGGCTTCTAGCATAGCACGTACAGAGTCCACTAGCTCTTGAAATTGTTTTCCAAAGATGTCAGCTGAATTTTTTCAGGAATGAACAACTGCTGACAAGTTAAACTGCTTTAACTTGTTTGTAAACTATGCACAAACATAGTACATAGCACATATGGTAGGCCAAATTTTCCAAGAGCACACTAGAAAAAAAAATGAGATTACCACTTATTTTCCTACTGTTTTCTGGCACTTATTATATCATGTATATATATGATTTGCTTTAAAGTGAAAATCTTTGCTCATAGAACATTACTTTAAAATATGAATGATGCCCTATATGGGAGAGTATATAAATCATGTTTAATTACCTCACTAAGAAACTCATAATTAGCTTTCTAGAAACCAAGAATTACTTTTGCTATAGATGAAGACAGAATGTACATAACACAAATATGGGTTCCTTAAAAACATTCCCCTACTTATCAACTTGTGTGTTAGGGAAGCCAGTACAATTCAGGTCCCCGGCATCATCAGTTTGAACAAACATGTGGAGGTCAAGAAGGTCTCTGAGAAGTTCTAATCATGTGAACATCTCTTTTGGAGAAATTAACTTTTTGCAGTTATATCTGAGCAACTGTGCATCTAAATCACTGTCATTTCCCACTTCATCCCTAGGGGACCTGCTAAAGAAAGATCGATATGAAAAACATTTGAGTCATGTTAGGTACAGAACAAAAGGTCTGAAACTTGAAGTAAGAAGACCTGGGTTAATGTTCTAGCTGTCCTCATTTCAAACTGAGCAAACGAAGGTAAGTTATTTAATATTTCTAGGCAGCACTTTCCTCAATAGAAATCTGAGGATACGGCTACTAATCGCACAATTAGAGATCAAAAAAGGTAATGAACACAAAGTGGTTTATAAACTTTTAAGAACTACTCAAAGACATTAGGTGACTGAGCCAACTAATATTTGAGCATATACTATGTTATAGGCACTGTGCTAGGTGCTGGAGATAAAAACAATGAATAAGACAGACATAGTAACTGCTTTTATGAAACTCACAGTCTAGGGGGTCACCCATTATAGAAGTGTGAGTTAAAGAGTTTATATTTACACAGGTGATTGGGGCTGGGATGAAGCTGAGGAAGCAGGGAGAAAAAACCCTAATTTCCTTAAAATATCCCAAGAAATTTTAGTGGAGAGGACTTAAAGAGGTGATCATTATCCCCCATAACTTTGCATGTCCCCCTACAATAGTAGAAGTCCAGTGGCTTCCACCACCTGAGTAATTCCCAAATCCATTTTGTATAATCCAATTAACAACCTCTGTGTATCTATTACATTCTTGGTATCTTTGTGCCGTTAGTCTTGATCCCTTCTTTGCTTAAATTTTTGATGACAACTTAACTGATTTTAGAATAAAATCCAAAGGCCTTACCATGGAAAACAAAGCAATTAAGGACAAGGTTCCTTAAATTTCAATCCTGTGGTTACCTTTTTATTCTTGTCCTATGTTCTGAGCATGCTTAAACACTTGTGATTCCCCAAATATAACATTTTTCATCTCAAAATCTTTGTATATACACCTCTCTCTGCTTAGGATAATCCTATTTCCTTTCTTTCCCTGACTCCTTGAGGCTCTTTAAGATTTAGTTCCAACATCTACAATTCCAGGAAATCTTTTCACATTCTCTGGTCTGTTTCTGATGTATTTCTTGGTACTCTTTTGGCTATGTAGATTCAGACACTCAACTTAATTTAATATTCAGAAAAGATAATTATTGTAAAGGTACTAGAGTATTTCAGAGACCAAAGCAAAGGAATATAGGTAAGCCATAACAACTTGAAGGAGGAACTCAAACACCATCAGGATTTTCTCCCCATGTTGCCTCCTGGTTTTTGTGTCTTGAATCCTCTTTATATATCTTGATCATTCGCTTATCTGTGTGTCTGCTTCCTTCTTCTCTCTGTTGATTACCACTCCCCCTCTTTTTTTTTTTTTAACTATTCCAGTTCATATAATGGAAAAGCAGATACTGTGAGCTCCTGAAATTTATATCTTAAATAATACAGAGCCCTGAAGAGAGATTTACATGTCCTTCTCAAGTTCAATTCTACAATTTTCTGAAAAGGACAGTGATTGGCCCTGTTTATGCCAGTTTTCCACGCTTAGTGAATCAGTTGGGGCCATGGGGCCAGAAGGCCAGGTCATGTTCACGTGACCTGTGGCCACTCGTATTATTGCATGTGGATTGAGTGTAGGGACACAGATATGCTAGTTACCATGACAGTGTGGAACAGATAATTCTTTAAGGTGGCCACTAGTGATTGCATAGAACCCTGTGAATAGATATATCAGAACATTCTTGATCTATTTTAGAAGAGCTCTTGTGGTACAAAAACTGTGCGTTTCATGTAAACAGGCAATGAATAAACAGGGAAAACATAATTAATGCATTAGTGACTAGTTAACATCTCAAAAGGACAGAGATGGAAACAAAGGAGAGAAGCTTAGATGATGTAAAAGAAAAGAATGAATTAGGAAATAGGAAACTTTGGAGGTCTCCCATTTACAACTAACTTCTCTATCCTTTAGTTTCCTTTTTTGTCAGCACAAATTTTTATAGTGGTCCTACCTACCTCAAGAGATTATTGTGAGCTTCACATGAGATGACAACTGTGAAGGCACCTTGAAAACATAAAAATCCTTGTGCAAATATGGGGTGAAGTTATTACAGTAATCACAAACACACAAATAAGGAATTTAAGAAACAGCTGACGCTTATGACTAGTGAGGAGTTAGTTAATAATCACTGAATGTGGAAAACGAGAAGGAAGCAGTTAGAATGAATGCCAGTTTAATTCAAAATAAAATGGAGATATCAAGAGGATTCAAAGATGTAAGTCTTGGGATCATATGCTTTGTCAAGGAAAAAACAGGTTTTTGCTGTAATTTATGTATTACAATGTGTGGTTAAAGCTCACCATAAACAAAATGTATATGCAAGACAGAACCCACTTTTGGTTTTAGAATTTCATTTCTTCCAATTTACTTAGTAAAGTATTCCTGTTCTATGGAGATATTACTTCACATATGATTAAAAACTTTATGAATATTACATTTTAAAATGGATATGAGAAGAGGTCTATATTAAAGAATTATGCAACACCTGATAGTTGACAAAGATACAAAGATGATAAAGTATGTAAACATACTTTTTTTTTTTTTGCTGTATTTGGGATTGAACTGAGGGTTTCATTCATGCTAGGTAAGCATTCTACCACTGAGCATTCTACCACTGAGCTCCATCCCTGTTTATAACAGAGTACTCTGTGATGACAGACTACTGCATACAGTGTAATTTATCAATAACGGCCCAGAAGCATAGGAGCACACAGGAAGTTTCACTTGGAGAACGTTAAAGGACAGCTGACAGGGACATTTTGATTGGATAAAATTTATAAAGACCAATGACATCATATTAGTTTGATTTTTTTTATGTCACTATAACACATAAAGAAAGGAAAGACAAGAAGGTCTGTAAGTATGTTTCTTGCTGTTTCCCCAAGAATGCTTATAGGTTTTTCTAAAAATACATCTTCATGTATTTTTGGTGTTGCATTTTTGATGAAGTTAGGAAGGTTTAGGCATTTTTGCTGAACAGGAGGAAATGATGGTTCCTACAAAGATTCTGGACAAAATATCAATAGATTTTAGAGTGGGGACGAGTCTTGAACATAAACATAGCTTTAGAAAGAGTTAGAAAGCCTAAAGAACAATCTATAATTTAGAAGTAACTGTTGACTTAATTTTTAGGTTACTTTCTAAAGGTAATGCTAAAAAGCATTATCAGCTGAAGTAAATGATAAATTCTCTCCCAGTAGGCAAATAGGAAGTTTATAGATCTGAAACCCAAGGAAACTCTAACTGAAGGTTACCAGCTTTCATCAGGTAAATCCATACCAATGGGGTGATAGAAAACATTCAAAAATGAGAGCTGCAAGTTAAGGTATTTAGATAATGACAGAAATTAGCTGCTTTAACCTTGAGGCCCATTTAAACATCAGCCCAATCTATTGGCAAGATATTAGTTGAAATCAACTAACTCTTAACTCACCTGTAAGATTCTTTGCAAGATTGATGGAAGGGCAATAAATGCTGCCATGCTATTTAGAACTTGCATGGTCAAGGATTTCAGAGCTATTATAACAAAAAGTTAATATCAAAGTTAGTTTAAAATAATTTTCAGTTTTTCCTGTCAAGGGAAAATAGTAGATTTAGCTTTTTAGAAACTTAATTAACCAAGGTCAGTTTGATATTTTAAAGTTAACTGTTGATAAGCTGTAAACACTACTATTATTCAAAATAAATTACATATAAGTGGCACAACAAGATTAGTACTACGCATGGTTTCATTAAGGAAAATAAGTAAGAATACGATATTTGGAGACAATATCATAGTGATACATTAGGGATGTGGCTTAGTGGTAGAGCACTTGTCTCACATGTACAAGACCCCGGACTTGATCCTCAAATGGCACAAAAATATTGGAATGGACAGTTTTTACAGATAAAAATTGGGTTGATGATGCAGGTGGCTCATCTTGGCAGTTCATTCTGATGAAATTACCTTCAGAGTGGAGATAAGGGGTAGTTGAGCTGGCCAACTTCTGTGGAGCCATCATTGCCTCCAATAATGGAAACCAGAGTGCCTAAATCATCAGAGGAAACCAAAGAAAAACCAAAGTCCTGTTATTTTTGAATAACAAACATTAGTTAATGTAAAACACATTATCAGTGTTTTATAGGTTGAAATGTTCTTCGCATGTATACCTGTTGGTAAAAAAATTAGAAAAAGAAGCTAGGTACTGGTGGCTCACGCTGTAATCCTAGCTACTCAGGAGGCAGAGATCAGGAGGACAGAGGTTCAAAGGCAGGTTGGGCAAATAGTTCTGGAGACCCTATCTAAAAAAACCCTGTTTCAAAAAAGGGCTGGCAGAGTGGCTCAAGGTGTAGGTCCTGAGTTCAAACCCCAGTACCACTAAAAAAAAAAAAAAATTAGAAAAAGGGATGGAGGTGTGGCTCAAGTGGTACAGCACAAGTACAAGAACCCCTCCAAAAGTAAATAAATAAAAAGAGAAGAGGGAACATCTGAGTGTGAAGAGAAAAGACAATAAAAAGTGGAGATCACAGCTAGGAGAGGTTTATTTATCTTGCAACCTTGGGAAACAAGGAAGACATGGAACCGCAATTTTGAGTTTTGTGTGTCTCTGGGGAATCAAAGAAGCCAGGAAAAGTTTCCTCCTAGATTCTTCCCTACTGTGGTAAAACTGTATCAATGACAAAGTCTAAACAACCTCACATACTGCAAACGAAGCAGCTATCCTTCATTTTTTTCTTCAGCAATGTCAAGCAAGATTAATGAAGAAAGATTACTGAAAGATTATTCCTGTATCAAGAATTATTTTGTATTTCCTGTCACCATAGACCAGGAAGTGGAAGTCAAGATTATCTCAGTTAACATTACCAATCTCACCAAGAGATAACAAAGAGATCTAGTACTTACTTATTTCTATTATATTAGGCACTGTGTTAAATGCCTTATATATATTTTTTTCATTTCAAGCTCACAATACAGTAGGTGTTGTCTTCACTTGTTATAAGAAATTGAGATTTAGAGAAATTAAGTAATCATACTGTAGTGAATTAGTTGTCTGGGTTGAAATTCTCTGTTAATTCTTCTGAGGAGAACCTATTGCTGCAAACATGCAGTAGACTGGAAGAAAAGTCAGTACTGACAGAGCAGGACAAAGCATGGCTATTTATAGAAGAGGGTTGTACTGGCTCCACCTCCTGCTGCAGAATTGTCTGGCAATGAAGAAATGAGAGCGGTTTAAGGAAAGGGGATGGGCTAAGTGTCCTGTAGACCTCCCCAAGGCAGCCTCCTCCTCTGGAGCTCTATAGGTCTGCCCTACCTTGTTGCTAGCCTTTCATTCTAAGTTTTTTTTCCCCCCTTTGTGGTACTGGGGTTTGAACTCAGGGCCTCATGCTTATTAGGTAGGTATATACTGTCAGTTTTTTATTTTACTGAAATTTTTACTTAGTCTAATCAGTACTCAGAAACTTTTTAAATCTTGTGTTTTATTCTTAGATAACACCACTTAATTTATCTTTTAGTTGTCTGTTTTAACTTTTTACAACCACATCATTGATTTCTGTGTATTTTATGGGATTCTACTTACATAGAGCATACTTAATTTTTGCCTTTTGGATTTTGTATTTATTTATCATGCTTAGAAATTTGATTTTTAAATTTTCTTACTTAATTTGGACAATTTAGAAGGATTATCTTTTTATTTTTTTTTCCTTTTTTTAAAATTTATTTTTATTGTTTTATTATTCATATGTGCATACAAGGCTTGGGTCATTTCTCCCCCCTGCCCCCACCCCTCCCTTACCACCCACTCCACTCCCTCCCTCTCCCCCCACCCCCTCCATACCCGGCAGAAACTATTTTGCCCTTATCTCTAATTTTGTTGAATAGAGAGTATAAGCAATAATAGGAAGGAACAAGGGTTTTTGTTAGTTGAGATAAGGATAGCTCTACAGGGAGTTGACTCGCATTAAGGATTATCTTTTTAAAGGGTTTATTCTTGCTTTCTAAGTGGCAGCGTAGAAAAGCCATGGGCCCTATTAACATGGTAAATAGGGGTGTTCTTCTATTAAATCTCCACATTAACCCTAATATATGTTGAACACTAAATATTTTTGTTTCTCTTACTCTTTAACATTGATTCTTAAAATTTTAAATGGGATAACTCTAAAAACTGATTGGCTAAAATAACCACTCATAATAATGACATGTCCTGAGATAATACCACAACTAAACCTGAATTGCTTCCTTGTGGTATGTAACAAACAGCTTTCTTTTTAGGGAGATGCATGCATAACAAAGCTATAGCCCTTGTTATATGTAATCAAGACCCAGCATGGTGGCTCACAACTGTAATCCCAGCTAGTCAGGGGGTAGAGAACAGGAAGATCACAGTTGGAGGCCAGCCCAGGCAAAAAGTTAGCAAAACCCCATTTTAATAAAAAAGCTGGGTGTGATGGTAATCTGTAATCCCAGTTATGTAGGAGGAGGCATAAATAGGAGGACTGCAGTCCAAGCCTGGGCAAAAAGTATGAAACTCTACTTGAAAAGTAACTAAAGCAAAAACAACTGGCAGCATGGCTCAAGTGGCAGACTGCCTGCCTAGCAAGCATGAGGTCCTGAGTTTACTCCCCAAGTACTGCCCCCCCACACCAAAAAAAAATCACATTGGAATAGCAGTTTAAGGACAGATATGCAAAGGTAATAGTGGTGCTTAGGGAGTCTACTTGGGAAAGGACTGATAATCCAACTTCCTGGGGTCTAACTTTAAAGAAATACTCCATAATACTTAATCCTCTGATGGAACTTTTGGTGGGATACATTAAAGCTTTTGGATGTTTTAAATCTTCTAGTAACTATAGGGTCTGTAGCTCTTGTTCTTGTTTTGCTCTGATTATTTTGAAGATAGGGTCTCACAAACTATTTGCCTGGGCTGGCCTTGAACCTTGATCCTCCTGATCTCAAGTCTCCCAAGTAGGCAGGATTACATGTGTGAGCCACCAGCACCTGACTTTAGCTAGCATTTTTGTTAAAACAAAATTTCAACTCAGATACATTTTTTTGTTTGTTTGTTTTATGGTACTTGGGTTTGAACTCAAGGCCTCACTCTTGCTAGGTAGGCACTTGAGCCACTCCACCAGCCCTGTTTTGTGTTGGGTATTATTGAGATAAGGTCTATTTGCTAGGGCTGAGTCCTGGCAACACATTTGTTTTTTTTAACAAACAAAAATATAATACATTTTTCTTTTGTCACATCAAAGTAATAAATAGCCATATCTGATTAAGAGACACAGAGTTTAAACTATAGTTAGAAAAATCCATGGCATTCTGGAGGTATGGATTTTATATTTAATTCTATTGTTTATATCTATGAATCTGAATATATTTCAGCTTATGTGAACCTCAACTGTTACATTTATAAGATATCAACAATTGCCATTTTTTCCTTGAAATTTTCACATATAGAATGAAGACTATTAAAAATATATTAGAGTGGAGAGGAACAGGTAAAAAGATTTAAACCTTAGTTTAAACATAACCTTAAGAATTCTTCCCTTCTCTGTTTCTCTATCAAAATATAACCATGTCCAAATATAGACAACTAACCAAAAGATGAGTAAAGATAAAGATTTAGGAATAGAAATAACATGGTGAAAGGACCATGATTCATTTGCATAATGATTAAACAACTATGGGAATTGTGGATATAGAAAAGAACCTAACTGCTTTAAACCTTAATGAGGTAAAATAGCAAAACTAATTAAAATTAGGAAGGACATGGAAGGAAGGATGGGGAGTAAGTGTGAGTTCATGCAAGTTTCCTTACTTGTATAGCATCACAGATATCATAAAAAATGTAACTGTAAACATATAAACATAATTCTCATCTGTTAATATAGTCATTCAGTTTTTTAATGCCAGCGAAATCGATTAAGAGGCTATATGGTGAAGAAACATGAAATTTAGAAATTCCTAGTTTTGTATGAGATTTCTAGAGACTGAACACTATCTCTTTAAAAGCAACCATTATTCAATTCAATTTTTCTAAAATTGCATCAACGTAGGCAGACAAAAAATATCTACAGTGATGTTCACCAAATGGTAATGATGGTTATTTCTGGGTGATCAGATGAATGTATTATAATTACAGGAATCCTTCTGTGTAACTTTTTGGATTGCATGAGTTTTAAAAAGGAGTATATATCATTTCATGAAAAAGTTTTCTAATAGAGAAAAAAAGATACATTAATATGTAAATGCATTTGTTATACATACTATATATCCTAAAGAACTGTCATAATTTATGACCTTGAAAAATCCCTGACAAAGACTTAAGAGAAACTTACCCATCTCATAAGAACAGAAAACATACCAAGATTTATTCTTTTCATTATAACATGTATAGCTAAATATATATAAAAAATTAACTCTGTTCTCCATTTCAGAAATCCAGGCTTTGGAAGAGAATGGGGGTGTGATGTCAGAAGCCTGAGCTCCGGAAGGACAGGCACAGAGGAGTGAGGTTATATCATAATACAAGTGCCAAATTTAGCTGTCAAATGTCAATCACATCTCGCCTACAGGTTCTGCTTCGTGGCTGTAACTCCCACCTGCACCAGGGATTCATCTACACCTTTTTGAGTTTCACTTTTCCTTTTGTGCAGTATGGGATCTGTTACAGCAGTGGTTCCAACTGTGGCTGTACACTGGAAGCATGTAGGGAGCTATAAAACAGACTGATGGCTGGGTCCCAGCCCCACAGACTTTCATTTAACTGATCTGGGGTGCAACCTGAGCAACGAGAGCCTTCGCAGTTCTCCATGTGACTCTAATGTGTAGCCAAGGCTGAGAACTAATATATCAGAGGCTACTTTGACCTTTTCTCAGCTTTCTCTGTATCTCTTGAGGGATGTGCTCTAGTTCTTCATGCTCACTTTCATCCACAGGGAATAGAAAAGATGACAAATGACCATATAGCCATAGTGCCGCTACATGGAGTACAAAAGATCTCAGACACCAAGACAGCTCCTATTCATGCACCTTACATTTTGCGGCATAGCCAGACCTAAGAACATAAAGCCTTTTGTGAGAAGAAAGAGGCCAGACACTTCTTACAATAACTTCAAGAGTCTTAAACTCCTGGGAACACTAAAAAGTGATTAAAATCCAGCTGAATTAAACTCAGGTGGTGGAGAGGGCAGTAGAAGATAGAATTAATTCCTAGTTGCAGGCCAGAACAGGCTTTTAAATGTCTAAGTAATCATTCTCCTACCTCTCGTTGCTGCTGGTTTAAATTATGTGAATTTCTCTGGCAAAGAGCAATTGTCTCTACAACCGTATCTTCAACATCCTTCAATGAGGGATCCTCTTTGGTATCTAGATTCAGAAAGAGTAAGAATATCACTTAAGGATATGTTACCTATAATTTCTGAGCTTCTGTGACAAAGCAAACTCTTTTTCCTCTGTGTAGGTTTAGTTTTCTATTCTATAATCACCCGTAAGACCTGATAGTGAGATTTAGTACATTAAAAACCACGTCATTTGTGTAAATGCCTGACATTCCAAATTTGTAAGACGCATACTGTGCTTAGGATTTCAATATACTTTACCTATGGGAACCAACTATTTATGGATTAGTTAGTAGGGAGATTATCCTTCACATTTATTGCTCTTTTTTTTGTTTTTGTTTTTGTTTTGTGTTTGTTTGGCAGTACTGGGGTTTGAACTTGAGGCCTCATGCTTGCTAGTCAGGCAATCTACCACTTGAGCCACTCTGCCAGCCCCTTCTTCTGTTTCTTAAATTCAGGTATTCCCCAACAATCTGTCTCAGCCTCTTTTCTCCTTATTTATCAATAAAAATGCATTTCCAAACTAAAATAATGAAATTATCATCTTTAAGTCAACTGGTTTATAAATTTTTATCATCTCTAATACTTTCGTCTCCTTAATTCCACACATCCAAATACATTGCTAATTTTTGTTGATTCTACTTCCACAGTCCCATGTTCATTAGTTTTATCCTGGTGGAGCTCTGCATATGTGCCACAGACTCTTCACTGAACTCGACTTAGAAATCTTGCCTCCCTAATTCCTTTATACCATCACTAGGGTTTTCTTAAGCACAAATCCAAAGAGATCACTCCCTTCCACCAAAACCATTAAAGATTCCTAATTCTTAAAAATAGAATGTGCAGGTATGGTGCATGCCCATAATCCAGCATTCTGGAGGTAGAATCAGGAGGATCTGGAGTTTGAGGCCAGCCTGGGCTATATAGCAAGATCCAATCTCAAAAAACCAAAGCCTGGGATGTAGCTCAGTGGTTGAGTGCTTGCTTACCATGTGCAAGGCCCTGGGTTTGATCCCCAACATTACATGCACATCAGAAAAAAAGAGAGAGACAGAGAGAAGTAAGAAAGCCTATGACCCTATGTAAGAGTACACTCAGACTTATCTCCTCCTTCCCTATGCTCTGGTATTGCCAGATTACTTCCAACTCCCAAGGTCACTTGCCAGGCACTTCCACACTCCTGTCCTCTTTGGCCCTGAGGACCTTCTCCCTTTGTCTAATAAACTCCTTCCAATTTTACTTCAAATGTCATACATTCCACAAGACTCTCTAAGTTCCCTAATTTTCCATATTCCATATTCCTTTGGTACTCTCATACATTCTATTCAACTTGCATTAGAGATTTTTATCTGCATGTATCTCCTTCATGAGGGTGTAGCTTTTTAGGGGAAGGAGTATAGTGTTTAAGTCATCTATGTATTACCCATAGGATAGGCATGATGTCTTGCAATTAGCAAATGCTTCAAAATTCTTAAGCATACTGCTAATATTGAATCTGAAAGCACATGGCTATTACTGGACTGGTTATGAGACTATTACTGGAAAATTTATCCTTATTTTAATTTGAAAAACTGGCTTCTCTAGATATACCAACTACAAATCATTATAGCAGTTTGGGGTAAATTCTTACTTTTCCCTAGGTCTTCCATGTATGGTCTGAAAAATTATCATATAACACTAAATTTAAGAAGAAAAATTTCATAAAATGCAATAAAAGCACAATTAAATTGATTGAGCACAAACTGACAGTTCAAAAATTATAATTAAATATCTAGTTGGATTGCCAATATGGAAAAATCATTAAAGTGTTTACTGAGGCTCCAAAAAGATTTAGTGTAATACAAGATAATAAAGATACAACAGAGGCTCTACATCTGGGACTTAGCCATTAAAAAACTATAAATTATCTACAGAGAATTATGGCAAAGAATGCATGGGCCAAGAGGTGCAAAAAATATATTAAACAGGTAGGATAATCTAAAAATCACCTAGCAAGGGATTCTGTGACCTTCAGGCAGGATATTTTGAAAATGTCAAGGAATATGAAAACAACCTGGATAAAGGAGCTGTGTGTGGTGGTTCACACATGTAATTCCAGCTACTTAGGAGGTAGAGATAGGAGGTCATGGTTTGAGGCCAGCTCAGGCAAAAGTTAGCAAGACCCTGTTGCAAAAAGAAGCTTAGCATGGTGGCATGCACCGGTGGTCGCAGCTACTTGGGAGGCAGAAGGAGGTAGGAGCATCATGGTCTGAGGGAGGCCTGGGCAAAAGCATGAGATCCTATCTGAAAAATAAACTAAAAAACAAGTGAATTGGGGGCATGGCTCAAATGGTACAGTGCATGCCTAGGAAATGTGAGGCCCTGAGTTCTATCAAAAAGAAAAAAAAGTGGATAAAGGACTTGAATAGACAGTTCTCAAAAATGATACATAACTGAACACATGAAATGATACAAAATGAACTCATGAAAAGATGCTCAACATCACAAATCATTAGAAAAATGCAAATGAAAACTACAATGAGATAATACCTCAACCATCAAGACAGCTATTATCAAAAAAAAAAAAAACAAAGAAAAAAAGTGTTGGTGATGATGTGGAGAAATTGTAACCTTTTGTGCACTTGTGATGGTGCTATAAAATGGTACAGCTGCTATAGAAAACAGTATGGCAGCTCCTTAAAATATTAAAAATAGGGCTGGGGATTGAGCTTTATGGTACAACATTTGCCTAGCGTATATAAGAGCTTAGTTTCAATTCTTAACACCATAGAAAGAGAGAGAGATGGGGGTGAGGAAAGGGAGAAAGGGAGGGAGAGAGAGAGGAGAGAAATGAAAGCAGGGACTCAAAATAATATTTGTATAATAACCATGTTCATCGTGGCACTGTTCACAACCCAACAGCATGAATGATAAACAAAACATGGCACACACATCATTGGTATATTATTCAGCTTTCAAAAGAAAAATCTGTCATGTCTGCCAAAACGTATGAACTTTAAAAACACCGTGCCCAGTGAAACAAGCCAGTAACAAAAGAACACAGTGTATGATTTCATTCACATGAGATACCTAGAGAAGTCAAATTCAGAAAAAGAATGATGAAAACAGTAAGCAGAATGGTGGTTGCCAGGGGCTGGGGGAATTGGGAACAAGGAGTTGCTGCTTACTGGGTTCAGATTTTCAGATTGGAAAGATGAGAAAAAACTGAAGATGGATGGTGGTTGATAGTTATGCAACAATGCAATCACACTTAATGCTACTGGTTATTCACTTAAAACTGGTAAATTTTGTGTTTTATGCTATTCTACCATAACTTAAAAAGTTAATTTTTGAAAATGTTAAAGACCATGATCAAATATGTATGTGCATGTGTCAAAGGCGCTCAAGATCCTACACTACCAACTTTTACTGCTTTGGGTTAAAACTGTCTAAACTCAACACAGAAACACTGACCATTACTGATTAGAAGTTCTGATTTGCTGTTTGACACATTTCACAAATTTTAAGGATGTTAGTTGTATGCCTCATTTGTACATAGCCAAATCATAAGTACAGAAATATAACCAAAAAGATAATCAAAGAGCAGGGAACAGTGCCTAATTTCTTTTACATTTAACTCCACAGACAATTAGCACTTAACCACATGGCTTATGATTTCCTATTATGAACCCTGGAAAACTAGTTAAAACATGGATCTATGTTAAAGTGGATAAACAGAAATTATACAAATGGACTAATGTATTTAGTGCTTAGTAAAGGCAGTTTATTAAACAACATCTTTTAAAGAGAGATTTTTTTCTGTGTTTTTTTGGGGGGTCGTAATGTAGGACTTCATGTTTGCGAGGCACCACACCTTCAGCCCTAAACGTCTTTTAATATATGGGATTCATGAGGGAAAAAATTATAAATTACATTAAAGAACTTACTTTCACTGTGATGTGTTATCTCTTGAAGTTTGCCTTGTAGTCTCTAGGGAGCAAAAAGAATACCGTAGGTAACAAGAACACATTATATTTCTACTTGCCACATATTTGAATTAACATATTTTAAAGGTAAAACCCTAAGATACAGCAAGGTTATTAAGAATGCTTCCTTACTGCCTTTCACAAGCAAATACTTGTACATACAGTTAGCAGTACGGGAAAGGGTCCCAGAAGACCAAAGACCAAGTGTCACTATTCTGCCCACATATGCTTTTTTCCCCCTTGGTGGGCCTGGGGTTTGAACTAGGTTTTCATGCTTGCAAAGCAAGCACTCTTCCACTTGAGTCATACATCCAGTCCTGCCTGGGCTGGGCTCTAATGGCAATTCTCCTGATCTCAGCCTCCCAAGTAGCTAGGATTATAGGCATGAGCCACCAATGCCCAGCTACATATGCGCTTTTTTATACTACCACATAGCTGTCAATGACATTCCTTAAGACAGATGTGAGGTTTAGGATTTATCCATGCTTTAGATAAGGGTACAAAATTCATACTGCATCATGAGAAAAAGGGGTGGGGTGGGTGGGAACAAAAAAAACATGACAACCTTATCTCCATAGCATAGGGCTCAGCCTTTGGTGTTATTTCTTCCAAATATGCATTTGTAGCATCCCCTGTTCTACTGAATTCTGAATTCTACTTACATGCCCTTAACTGATTCCCAAAGTTTCTTAGTGTACATTGAAGATGATCCTAATATATTCCTCTACCCCAAATTTGCTTCTTTTCTCAGGGTACCTTATTGGCCAAATTCACAGAATTTTAACTTACAGATTTTGAGCCTATTAGATAAAATCATCATCACTACCCTTCTCACTCAGCTCACAGTCAAATGATTAGTAAGCTTCCAAATTTACCTCCTTTCCTTTCCATCACCACTGTCGCAACCACATTAAGCCCTCACAGACTCACACCTATGCTGCTGCAATGGCCTGCCAAGGCTCTCTGCTGACAATTTTTCCTCTCCCTTCTCTGCATTTTACTCCCTCCTATTCAGTCACCAGAGTTCTTGCTTCACAACTCTTTAGCATGTGCTACCTACCCTTTGTTTCTGCCTATATGTTATATAGCTGAGTCCAGTAAAGTACTCCATACTTCACTGTATTCTCAAGGCTTTGCAACTGACAATCTTACTCCCTGCCAGGATCTCCTCCTTCTTCCCCTATCCAGGCCAAGAATAATTTTACTTATACTTTAATACTAGGTTCATAGCATCTTCAACAGACAAATTGCAAGGAAGAAAGAGATGTAGGGGCAATTTACAGATTGAAAGAAATTAAGAGCCTATACAAAAGCTTCTATGGGGTGTTCTTCTGGCCTGTTTTAGAGTCCTATGGCTAGAAACTAGAAGCCAATGTGGAGCATTTTTAAATATAAATAGGATATCTCTAATCTATTCCTAACTGTATGACAATATAAAAAGAAAAATGATATACCACTTTATTCCTTCAGGATAGTTACTATCAAAAAATTAGAAAATAAGTGTTGATAAACATATGGAGAAATTATAACCCTTGTGCATGGCTGGTGGGGATGGCACAGCTGCTATGGAAAACAAAATGGCAGTTTCTTAAAATATTAAAAATAGAGTTACTACTTGATTCAGCAATCTTATTTCTGGATAAATACCCCAAAGAAACAAAAACAGGGTCTCAAATAGATACTTACATACTCATGTTCAAAGCAGCATTGTTCATAATAGCCCAAAGATGGAGGCAACCCAGGTGTCTCAAAGGATGAACAAAATGTGATACACACACACACACACACACATATATATATACATAACATATGTACATATATACACACGTATAACACAGATATACATATATACATACACACACATATATAATGAAAAGACATTCCATCTTTAAAGGAAGACAATTCTAATGTGTTGCAATGTGAATGAACCTTGACGGCATTATGCCAAGTGAAATGAGCATGGCAGAGAAGGGCAAATATTGCATGATTCCACTTAAATGAGGTATCTAAAGTAGACAAGTTCATGGAATTAAAAAGTAGAATGGTGGTTGCCAGGAACTGGAGAGCAGGGTTAGGGAAGGGAAGGGGAATAACTATCTAATAACACAAAGTTTCAAACTGGAATCTGAAAATGTTTTGGAGATAGATGGTGTGGTGATGGTGTTTACATAATAATGTGACTACACTTTATCTAACTGACCAGTAAACTTAAAATAACTAAAGTTGTAAATGATTCTAGCAGCTTTATTTCCTAACAGCCTAAATCTAGAAACAGCCCAGGTGTTAGTAAACAGGAGAATAGATAAACAATGATATAGTCACACAATTAAGTACTGCTCAGTCACAAATTAGGAGAAATGTATTAAGAAATAAATCTCAAAAACATTACATTGAGTGATAAAAATTGCACAAAAGAGTACCTGCTGGATGCTGAAAATAATCACACAAGTGGTTTCTAGTAGTTTTTATCCTAGGGGTGGAAGGGGAGAGTGGGAATTGCCTGGGAAGGCAATCTTTCTTGAGTGGAAGTAATGAGCTGTGTCTTCTTAGGGACTTAGGTCACACAAATGCATTTGTTTCAGAAAACTCAGCAAATGTACTCTTAAAACTTGTGGGTCTAATTTATTTTTTGCTGTCTATAAATTCTACTTTCAAAAATACCACAAAGAAATATTGAACTCTAGTCAATGATACACATGATAAAAATATTCAGGGGTAAAATGTACGGTTTTAACAACTTACCTTGAAACATAATGAATTAAAATGCATGGATAAACGGAAAAGAGATAGAAATATGACAAAACAGATGCAGTAAGCATTACCTCCAGCATTATTAAGAAGGCACCATGAATATCTCCTTTCTTTTCTAATAGATAAGCAGTGACTTCATGGAGTTGATACTTTTGAGTAATCTAGGAAAAAAAAAAGTTAAATATTTTTATTCAAAGTTTTTTTTGTGGAGTTGGAAAATCCCATGGAAGAGGGAAAAAACTGCACAGGATAACAAATAAAGAATTCATACCTAGATAGTATGCTATTGTATAGTATAATATGCAAATATTTGATTTTCTAGGTACATAGTGGCTCATTTGGCAGTTCTAATTGGACAAAATTCATTAGTTTTTTTCACTTATTATAAATACTGTACACTAATTTATGGGGTCTTGGTAAAAAAAAAATAAAGAATATCTAATCAGTAAAAAAGATACATCAAGGAAGCCAAGAAGATAAATGAAAAAAGTACAGAAAATGACAGAAAGCAAATAATGGAGAAAGAGTAGGGAAGTTTCTTAACAAACTCTAGAAACTATTCTAAGAAGGAGGGTAGGAGGGATAAAGGAGAATGATGGAGGGGGTGAATCTAACTAAGACATATTGTAAACACTTTTATAAATGTCATAATGTACCTCCAGCACAACAATAACATACTAAAACTCCAATGAAGTGTTTTTCAAAAGATTAATAAAGTAAAAAACCAAGTTTTTAGAAGAAAAAGAGAGGCACAAATAACACATTATCAGATCTAACAATTCAAAGAGAAAAACATGTGAAACTCTCAATAAATGCAAAAAAGCATCTGGTAAAATTCAGCACCCAGTCATGACAAAACAAAAACAAAATACTCATATTAAGACTAAGAATAGAATTTTCTTAAACTAATAAAAGTTATCTTTTAATATTCTACAATAAACACTACATTTAATGTAAAGTATTTGACATATTCCCTTTAAATCTGGACCAAGGCTAGAACACACAACATTACTGCTTCTAGTTAGTAATATCCTAGAGCTGCTAGACATCGGTTAAGAAAAAGAAACGATTGAAATGAAAAAAAAAACTGCATTATTCTTAGAAAGCACTACTGTCATAAAATAAGAAACAGTCTGAAATGGAAAAGAATTCAGCTCGTTGGTAAATGCAAAACAATGCAAAAAATTAATCACATTATAATGCCACAATTAACAACTAATAAAAAAGAAGAGTCATTTAAAAAACTTCCTTGCACAGTGTTAACAAAGGCTATAAAGTATCCAGGAACAAATTTAAGAAAATATGTGCAAGAATCTTATATAAAAGTTAGGAAGTATAACCAAAGGGTAAAAAGATATTTTTAAAAGGTAAGAATATTTCTGAATGTGAAGAATCAATAACATAATTGTGTCAATTCTTCATGACTTAATCTATAAATACACTATATTTAAAAATCAAAGCTCCAAAAGATTTTTTGGCAGTATTGGGATTTGAACTTAGGGCCTTGAAATTGCTAGGCAGGGCATCATGCATCAGCCCATTCATAAAAAAAATATTTTAAAGGAACTTGATAATGTGATCCTAACACTGATGCGGAATAGAGAGAGTAAAAAACAATGACCAAAGTGTTTTAAAGAAAAAAAATGAGGATACAGGATTCTTTCCCCAAATAATAAGCCTTATTATAAAGCTCTGTTAATTAAAATATGTGGGATGGATGTAGTGAAAGACAAAGAACCAAAAGTACAGAAGAGAATAAACAGACCCGTGCACCCAAACAGAGTTTGATATATAGCAGTATGATGTTAAGAATCACTGAGGAAAGGATCATAAAATGCCACATGAACCATTAGCCATCATTTTGGGAAAAAAAAGATATAAACCTCTCTCTTGACCAGCCTACAAAAATAAATTCCAGGTAGATTAAAAGCTTAAATTTAAGAAGCTAAACTATAAAACTTATATATAGAAGAGACATTCTTTGTGCCATCAAATCAGGAATGGAATTAAGACAGATCCATAAACCTAAACCTTAATGGAAAAGACTGATAATTAAAACAGAAGTCACTAAAAGCAGAGTTAAAAGATATGCCGTAACAAGTTGGAAGAAGGCATTTCCAACAGATGAAATAAAGAATGAAGAATCCAGACATCAGAACTTCTAGAACTCAATAAGAGAACAGCAAAAACTCAAGAGAAGAATGAGCAAATAATATGAATAGACTACTAGATGTCCATTAAGATAAATGACGTTGTTTTGGTGTAGGGGAAAAAAACCAGTGGGAGAGCAAAAGGAGAGGGTGATGAGTGGTGAATATGATCAAAGTACTTTATTATGCATGTATGGAAACCCATTAAAATTGTATAAAAAGGGGGCTGTAAGAAAGTAATAGAGGGGTGAATTTGATTAAGCACATTATATGGACATATCACAATGAAACCCATCTGTATAACTAACATATGCTAATAAAAAATCACACTGGTAAAAAAGGAATGAGGTAGATCTGAATGTATAAAACTTGATATAAAAAACAGTGAAAAAAGCAATTTGTAATATGCAGCTATGTACTCTATGATACCATTAATATAAATCTTAAAAAGCACAAAACTTTTATCATGCATACATAGGAAAAAGTTAAAATCATGGATTGAAAGAATAAACACCAGCTTTAGACTGGGGGAACCTTAGAGCAGAAAGGCAAAAGGATAAAGTATGCTTTATTTTTAAAATAAAAACCCAAAATAACAAAGATCTAAAGCCAGGATGGCAAAATGTTAACAACTAAAATTGATTTTGTCAACATAGTAAAAATGTCGATATTCCCCAAAGTAATCTACATGTTTAATGCAATTCCCATCAAAATTCTAATGACATTCATTAAAGAGATTGAAAAATCTACTGTTAAATTTATATGGAAACACAAGAGGCCACGAATAGCCAAGGCAATACTCAGTCAAAAGAACGATGCAGGAGGTATCACAATACCTGACTTCAAACTATATTACAAAGCAATAACAATAAAAACAGCATGGTACTGGCACAAAAACAGACATGAAGACCAGTGGAACAGAATAGAGGACCCAGATATGAAGCCACACAACTATAAGCAACTTATCTTTGACAAAGGAGCTAAAAATATACGATGGAGAAATAGCAGCCTCTTCAACAAAAACTGCTGGGAAAACTGGTTAGCAGTCTGCAAAAAACTGAAACTAGATCCATGTATATCACCCTATACCAAGATTAACTCAAAATGGATCAAGGATCTTAATATCAGACCCCAAACTCTTAAGTTGATACAGAAAGAGTAGGAAATACTCTGGAGTTAGTAGGTATAGGTAAGAACTTTCTCAATGAAACCCCAGCAGCACAGCAACTAAGAGACAGCATAGATAAATGGGACCTCATAAAACTAAAAAGCTTCTGTTCATCAAAAGAAATGGTCTCTAAACTGAAGAGAACACCCACAGAGTGGGAGAAAATATTTGCCAACTATACATCAGACAAAGGACTGATAACCAGAATATACAGGGAACTTAAAAAACTAAATTCTCCCAAAACTAATGAACCAATAAAGAAATGGGCATGTGAACTAAACAGAACTTTCTCAAAAGAAGAAATTCAAATGGCCAAAAACACATGAAAAAATGCTCACCATCTCTAGCAATAAAGGAAATGCAAATTAAAACCACGCTAAGATTCCACCTCACCCCTGTTAGAATAGCCATCATCAGCAACACCACCAACAACAGGTGTTGGCGAGGATGCGGGGAAAAAGGAACCCTCTTACACTGTTGGTGGGAATGTAGACTAGTACAACCACTCTGGAAAAAAATTTGGAGGCTACTTAAAAAGCTGGACATCGATCTACCATTTGATCCAGCAATACCACTCTTGGGGATATACCCAAAAGACTGTTACTCCAGAGGCACCTGCACATCCATGTTTATTGCGGCACTATTCACAATAGCCAAGTTATGGAAACAGCCAAGATGCCCCACCACTGACGAATGGATTAAGAAAATGTGGTATCTATACACAATGGAATTTTATGCAGCCATGAAGAAGAACGAAATGTTATCATTCGCTGGTAAATGGATGGAATTGGAGAACATCATTCTGAGTGAGGTTAGCCTGGCTCAAAAACCAAAAATCGTATGTTCTCCCTCATATGTGGACATTAGATCAAGGGCAAACACAACAAGGGGATTGGACTATGAGCACATGATAAAAGCGAGAGCACACAAGGGAGGGGTGAGGATAGGTAAGACACCTAAAAAACTAGCTAGCATTTGTTGCCCTTAACGCAGAGAAACTAAAGCAGATACCTTAAAGCAACTGAGGCCAACAGGAAAAGGGGAACAGGTACTAGAGAAAAGGTTAGATCAAAAAGAATTAACCTAGAAGGTAACACCCACACACAGGAAATCAATGTGAGTCAATGCCCTGTATAGCTATCCTTATCTCAACCAGCAAAAACCCTTGTTCCTTCCTATTATTGCTTATACTCTCTCTACAACAAAATTAGAAATAAGGGCAAAATAGTTTCTGCTGGGTATTGAGGGGGTAGGGGGGAAAGGGAGGGGGCGGAGTGGGTGGTAAGGAAGGAGGTGGGGGCAGGGGGGAGAAATGACCCAAGCCTTGTATGCACATATGAATAATAAAAGAAAAATGGAAAAAAATTGATTTTGTGAGTACATACATATTTGCTATTCTGCACATTTCTAAATACTTGGAATATTTCATAACTAGACATTTTCTAAAGTATGGACAATTCGGGAAGTAGATGCAGAAAACACAGGTTACTATTTATTGACAGAAAAAGAAAAGAAATAACTTTAAAATAAAATTTTATGCTGGCTTATAACACACACACACACACACACACACACACACATCCCTTCACATGGAAAGAAAGGAAGACAACCTGGTCCATACATGAGCTAAAGCTACTGGGTTAGTCTATTACATTTTTAAATCACTAGTCTGAAATTTAAAGGTTAGTCTTTTCAATATTTTTGCTGAGTTCATTTTTTTTGGCTTATTGTGCTGTGTAGAATTTCTAGGAACATGGAGGAACGTGTGTTATTTCTATAGTTCAACAAACTAAACAGAGAAGCAGTTATCACAACAGGTACAGCCAGCACTATGCACACAGACCATCTGGTTAAGTCTCAGATGTCACCATCTATTATTTAACTTCTGCAAGTACCTTCAGATGTGGGTCTCTCTGTGCTATCTGGCAAATGGAGAATGTTCAGGAAAAGTTCACTCTTGTCTTGTATACTATTGGCTAGCCTTACCTGAATCGTTTCTTCCAACCGGTAGCATTCAAGGACTTGCAGTGTCTCTATAACTTGGTTTGGCTTGAACTGACACAGCAGCTCAATGAATTGCTCTGTAATACAGGGAGATATTTGCAGCGATTCTTGATTCACATGAATACCTTCCCTGAAAACAAAAGGAAACAATCCTAAATGGTAGACTATTTAAGCACACCTATAATTAAAGGCTACAGGTAACAAGTGTAACATGTTAAAAACCAGAATACCTTCTGGTCAGTTAAAAACATGAATTCTGTGTTATGTTCCTTGGCTTATTCAGGTCAACTATGCATAACATGGGACATTCTAGCTAGAAATATATCTCCATTTACAATGAATGATTAAGGAAATGATATTCAGTTGAGACACTTTTAAATCATACCACAAGTCATACGCAGCTATGAAAGAAATAATACCCAACTCAGTCTAAACACTTGATACATGAATAACTATATATAATAAACTGTCTTCTAGTCTCAGCAACTGTCTCTACTATTCTTCCCTCACAGCACCAAACATACCATGTTCTTGTAACAACTTCTTCAATTATCTGCCTTCTCTAAACACTACCAACTCTGTGATGGCCAGTACCATGTAGCTTCTCATTAATGAATTTTCAAACTCAAACAATGTCTTAGATGTAGTAAAGGCTAATATTTTTGGTTATGGTTAAAACAAAAGTGTGATGAACAGTAAGATACACAATAATTATTGGTTCATTTGCTTTGTATGCCCACTATTCACAAAGCCCACTATTCATAAGGCCTACACAAAAACCTTGGAAGTAGTATTAGTTTTACCATGGTGGGCAGGCACTCAAGTACTGTGGCCCAAAAGGACTATTAAGTAAATCAATTGCTGCTCATGAGACCTAAGAATCTTCTCCATTCTAGCTTCAAAAGAAGTTAGTTCCTTCAGAGAGTCCTATTTCTCTTCAGAATTCCTAAACTAGGTTTCCTTACATAAAGAATTGGAAGAGGGTTAATGAGATACAAAAATGATGGCTTGATAAACTAGCCTTCTAAAGAAAAGTTAAGGCAGATGGACTAAAGCAGCAGTTTCCAGCTCTTCTCACAACATGGCACAGAGAACATTTGCATGGCCATTGAAGTGAAATTAGATTACTCACAAGGCATTCTGGCTGCCCCAAGAGCTAAGGGGATCCATCTCTAAACACACCCATAGTCAAGGGCAGTGCACCAACAGTCACAAGGTAAGAATCTCTGAATTCCAGAGAGCATGATTTGGACTTGATAATTATTCTACAAATGATGGTCAGTAGCACTCCTCTTTTTACTAATACGACGCTTGAGGTAAAGTTAAGGATTATATTTAGACTCAGGAGATCTTTCCTTGAAAGAGCTCTGTGTCCTCAGTTTTGAACAAAGGCTGAGTGATAAATTAAGTTTTGATTCTTGGGGCTTTTAATAAATGCAGTTGGACCAATTCATTATATCCTCAAATTGGCAGTAAAATTCAAAGATCAAGTTTTAATTTTTTGGTATCTCACAATTGCCTTTCACACACAGTTTTGTTTGGTGACTAATCTCTATGTACATCACCAACTTAGTTCTTACATGTAACGTGAAAATTATGTGTTTAAGTGTCTGTGTCCCAGCCACACTATCAACTCCATCAGGGCAATGACCAGGTTGCTTTCATCATTGTTTCCTCAGCACTGGCACAGTCCTAGCACATAATGAACAGTGCTTGACAAATGTCCACTGAATGGAACCAAACTGACTATCAATAGTGTATGGCTGCCCCATACAGACAGAAGCAGAATAGAGGGGTCTGTGGCTATAAAGTCAGACACAGCTAGAAATAAATCCTGTTAGAAAGCTCTAGATGGAGAAATTAGAATATACACGTGATCAATCCATGGAAATGGTAGTTCTTGAAGTAGGACTGTGATACTGTGATAGAATAAGATGTACATATTTGGTCTCTGTCCCAAGCTCCTGGCACACAGATTCCTAAACTGGAATCTCCAAAGTGGTATGTCCCTTTGTGTATGCTAATGATATGACTGGGGGGCTCCAGACAGCCTTTGGATGGGAGAGGCTGGTTGCCAGAGGACCAACCATGTTATTAGTGGGATGGAATTTTCAGTTCTGGAACTGTTCCTCATTTCCAAGGACGGGAGGGACTGAAGACTGGCTGATCACAATGCCTAAAAAGATAATCAATCAGGCCTACAAAATAAAGCCTCCATAAAAACCCAAAAGGAAATAGTCTAGAGAGGTTCCAGATTGCTGAGCACATGGAGATTACCTAGAAAAGTGCTGAGAGGGTATGGAAACTCCCTGCCTCTTCCCACGTACCTTGTCCTATGCATCTCTTCCACCTGGCTATTTTTTTGTATCCTTTGTAATAACATTCATAATAAACCGGTCTACATAAATAATATGTCTTCCTGAGTTTAGTGAGCCCCTCTAGCAAATTAACCAAACCTAAGTAAAGGTCATGAGAATGAACCTCAATTTATAGCCAATTAGTCAGAAGCATGGATTATAACCTGGGGCTTGTGACTGGCACGAAGTGGAGGAAGTCTTGTGGGACTCAGTCTTTAACTTGTGGAACATGACACTAAAGACAGGTAGACAGTGTCAGAATTGAGTTAAATTAAATTGTACAACACCTAGTCATGGTCCACTGGAGAAATGCTTGGTTGATAACTGGGCACATTTGGTGAACAAAGCAGTTTGTTTTTCCCTATCTCTTCTCAGAAGGACAGGTGTGTTGCAAGAGAACACGATTTGATAAAAGAAAATGGGACTGTTAACTCATGTGTCTCCACATTCAAGTGAGCAAGTATACTTCCAGATATTTATGCCAAGCGGTAGGTATTGTCAAGATTTTATCTATACCAGACTTTTGTCAATATTTCTTATAAATGTAAGACTATGGAGTAAATTAAGATTTGACATAAACATCTGTCAGTGAATTACAGTACTTAATTCTTCCCAGAATATTTGACAAAACCATTTATAAGAACGGAAGATATGAATATGTATGAAACCAAGCAAATCACTCAAATGAATAGATTCTGATGCATGTGTTTATGAAGAAATAATGTGTCTGGTGGGAAATAATTGGGCAACATCAATATAATCAAAACTACAATAAATATGCTGTGGTATTAATGAATTTATATCCATTTCTGACTGTTGCTTATCAGTCCTGCACATAAACACAATTTGTTGCATTTATTTGTCAAAGTTCTTTGTTAGTATTCTATTAGCTTCCTGTTGTGCTACATACTCACTGCAAACATTAATGACTGTCAAAATTATGTCTTTTAAACCTAAACCTTATCTACTCTTTCGAGAATCATCTAATAATAGCATCGACTACAAGGACATAAACATTTAAATGTATGTAAAAGGGAGAATTTCATAAGGAATATACATGTATACTGAATAAGAATAAAATATACATTAAAATGATTCTAAAATTAAAATTCTAACTTCCTAATATTTGACAAAGGACAATTTTACTGGAGTAGAAAGGCTGGTCTAGACCCTCTTCCTCACTCTAAAAGCTATACACAAACAGGCCAGCCTTGAACCTCTTTCCCTATCTCTAATGAAGAGGATTTCACAGCCTCCCTCAGTAGCCCAGTACTAATTTTGGTAATTTGGGGCAATGTCAGCTTATTAAATTCTGTCTGTCTGAACTCTCTGCTCATTGTCATAAATCCAGTTTTTGGAGGTAGTGGCATACTAATGGCCACTCAGTACATTTTAGACTAAGAACTCAACTATATCACTTGCAACACATAAGAGTATAGAAAACTAATTTTTTTCTGCAGCTTTCATTCAAATCAAGCTGCTTCACAAAGCCTTCAGGCTGAATTTTCAGCTTTCTATACACATTCCATGTTGGAAATACCACAATGTAATACTGTGCCAACTGAACAAAACATATGGGAGTATGCCAGTCTGTCTGAAAAGACTTTAAATGGGATTATTATTGGTAGCAAAGACAATGCCTATAAAATCTGTATGAAATTATAATGTAATAAACACAATAGTGCCTACAACTTGACAACAATTAGCTTAGATGGGAACCTGTTCTCTGGCAAGAAGGAATCTAGTGGCATTGTTTGTCCCCTGCTGTCCATGATGGCCCTGCACACTGTGCACAGCTGCCAGGAGTCCCTTAGAGAGGAACAGCTGCAATCTCTTATAAGCATTTATGAGGCACAGAACAAAGCAGACAGGCACACCATTCTGACCACAGAGACTGCCACACCATGCTGATGTAACAGCAGATCTAAGATAGCTGGCTTTAGGGGATTTGGTCACTTTCAATTTCCCTAGTTTGACTAATCAAGTGCCAAAATGTACTCCCTCAAATCTTAAAAAAAAAATTGTTATTTCTCTGATATTCATGAAAAAGAATGTCTTGTTTTGATTGTTCTCCTGCACAGACAGGAAGATTAGGCTTTATAAGGTAACAGAAGTAAGAGCCTAATGATTCTAGAAACCAAAAGAAACATTCAGCTCTATAACCATGCCAAGTACAGATCATTCCAGTGCTGCACAGACTTCAGTTAAAAATTCATAAAGGCAATCTAGGGGTGTAGCTCAGGGTTTGACCTCCAGCACCAAAAAAACCCCCCCAAAAAACAAACAAAAAACCCCAATACTGAAACACCCATAAGATAGCTAAAACAATTATTCCAAGTGCTATGATTAGGTAAGACAGTAACAATTTTACGATATCTTCATCATGTATATTCTTCCTTATGCAAAGCTCTCCTTATCACTAAAATCTGCTAGTCATCTTAACAGCAAGGTTGTCTGGCCCAATCTGAAGAAAGACTAGAAAGATGCATCTCAGCATAATACTAAAACTGGTGCACTTCCAAGTTCTGGTGGGAAACCTAATGCCATTGTCTCCCACAAATGACAGATGAAAATGGAAGAGATAGATGAGAGGCAATTCTATGACCCCCACAGAGATATTCTTCAAACAGTTTCCAGAAATGATTTTGGAACTGATACAGGGCCAGACTACTGTATCTCTATTACAATGGCCACATAAAAACAGCACATACACAGAATGAAGACTTGGTCTCTGATTCTGGCATGGAAGTGGCCTGGAAATCATCACATACTC